CATCTTGGCCGGTGAAGCCAATTTGTGCTGGCATGTACGAGTATATGTGCTTGTGTGGCTGCGGGCATATTCTTTGTTTTTTTGTGGGAAATAGATTTTACATTCTCGGTGACATCTTTGATTGTGGCATGTGACCCACTTGTAACCGGCTTGTAAATGCCAACCCTACCCTAGAGAATCATAATCTTATGAATTAATGAAAGGTCAAATAAAGTGAATGCCGCCTATTTACCCTTTACTGGTATATATATATATACATTTACATACACATTTTTATTCATTGAAAATCGCATGATATACACGCACTAAATACTTGTAAATATATACCCATAAACAAACACCTACACATCAATATCCACAATGAATTTCGCCTTGCAATCGCTATCACTAATATGTTTAATGCTTTTAATCGCAACAAAATATATCGTCAAAGCAAAATTCATTTTTTCTGTAACACGTCATGTTTTCATCTTTTACACGTTGTCGGGTATTTATTGACCAGTAATTTGTAAGATATCATCATTTCATAAGTAATTTAAGTTCAACTCACTAGCCAAAATTATATATATATATATATATATATATGTATGTGTGGTGTGTGTATGTGTGTGTATTTGTATGTGTATGTATGTATGTATCTTGGAGGGATAGGGATATATAAGGGCGTAGGCAGGCATTAAAAGAGAGACATGTACGGTTGAACCCGTAAATTTAGTGGCATAGTGGGAAGGCATCTCCGACAGCTAGAGAGAATCCCACACAGCCAGCGAAGCGCAGACATAAAACAAACTAGTAAAAAAAAAAAATTTGTTGTTTTGTAAGGCAAGCAATCGCATATGAGTCCATAATATTTACAAGTGTACACATGTATGTGTATACATACAGATATGCATAACATTTATAAAAAAAACCTATACGCATAGAGAGAGAGAGAGAAAGAGAAAGAGAAAGAGAAAGAGGTGAAGGGTACGTAATTGATGATAAGAAGACTAGTCACCATTTTCTCTGTCTAAAATAGACGATACCAATTTTGCCTCTGATGTTTACCTACCTTATTTGCCCATGCAAAATTACCATTATGCCCTCGGATGAACCCTCTTTTTTTTTTTTTGGTAAAAAAATTGATATTTGTTGATGTTTTTAGTTGACCAAAATAGCCCTAGTACATGATTGATTCCCCCCATGTTCTTATCCGATTTTAAATTTTACACGTAATGATAGTAAAGAGCATAGCCCATTCATAAGTGTGTAATTATTGTTGATTTGTGCATTTAATGGCTTATTGATTGATTGGGTCCAGTGCTTTGAATTATTTATTGGTTGGCCGCTCCTTCCTTTGCTTTCTTTACTCTTTTTTTTTTTTTTTTGTAAAAAAATGTTGTTTAATAGTACTAGTATCTTCATAATTTGATAGTGCCATTGAGTTATTTGCAATCATACGCAAACCGGGGTGTGCATTATTTATTATGTTTTGAGTTTTTCTACCATACAATTTTTTTTAATGCATTTACCTCTCTCTTACTTTTTCTTTTAAAATATTAACAGCAGCATCATGTCGGTAAAAACTTTCAACATTGACAGCTAATAGATCCCATCTTTGGAATAACATAATAATGTGCTTGAGCTGGTTTCTTGCTTCCAAAGCTAACATTAGGCTAAAGCGATTAATTGTTTACTACTAATGAATAGTCCCTCTTTGGACTGCAGGTCAGGGATTCGAACTCTACCTGTTTTGAAAAAAATTCAAAGGAGATGTCAGAGTACGTACTCCTTTGATTTAGTAGGTTCTTATACCTATTAGCTCCATATACAGTCTCTTTAATCTCTCATTTCCCCTAAATTAGCATAGATTAGATTATAAAAATGCTATCGTTGCCGTAAAAAAAAAAATAGCATATTAGGAATGATAGGCTTGTACAAAACAAAAGCAAGGTAATAAAGCTAAATTGGCACTATTGAATTTTTTTTTTTTTATTTTTTACTGTAAGTTAAGCGACCGATTGGTTAAAAGACCTAGCTAGAAAGATAAGAAGTTAAGAGGAAAAAAATGGATTGAATTGGTCCAGTCAATCGATTTAACCAATAGGTTAGGCTATTGCCAAAAAAACCAGGTCAATAAGGACCTAATCACAAACAACTCAAGCTTGGCCAATATTAGTGAAAAATAGGTTGGAGATGGTCCAGATTGAACAATCATTTACCTCCTTCCACAATAGTTCTTTTCATCACGTAACAATACCGTTCAAGTTGGCCAAACAAGGAAATATTTGGACAGCCTGCAGATCTGCATATTAATTATTTTGAAACAATCTTTTGAAAAGTCAAAAAAAAAAAAAAAACTTCCAAAAGGCGGCATATATGGTAACTTAATTTTCTCATATGCCCTTTGGTAGGAGGTTACCAAAGTAGAAAAGAAAATTTCATACAAAAAATTGATTTGAAAGGAAAATTAGAAGCAAGGACAGGAAGAGTTTTTTACTTCTTTTTTTTTTTGCCAATAATTGGAAAAGCTTTCACATTGCCTCCTCTTAAGATGGAACGCGATTTTATGATTGCACTGTACAATTGAATTTTCTTCACTAACATGTTCAAGCTGAAAAATAATCAAATTCCTATGAATTCAATGAATTGGGAACTTTATACAAGTGATAAACGTAAATCCTATATTTATATATGATCTCAATCAAAGATGAGATATATAAGAGCATATAAGTTGATGACTTTTTGAGTTTTGCCAGGTTTGTAATATGCATGTATCCGTACACATAAATTTCAACATCAAGTTATAAGTTGTACAATTGACAAAAAACACAAAACTTCAGCATGGATTGATTTCTATGCTAAATTGGTTAACAGGGAAATTCTGTCCCAACAGGAACATATATAGCCAGATTTAGTTTCAAAAACTTGTTACTTGAGATTCACTTAATCTCTAATTTTAACATAAGCCGTTATTCTCATATTTTTAAGTTAATTTTCCGATTTCAGATACGGTTCATCTTGTTGCACTTTTCAAACTAGGAGATTATATGTATGGAGTAAATTTTATATATACTGACAGTATATACACTATCACCATTTGATTCATGACATGTGAAATTCAAATTTTGCATAATTATCATTCACCCAACGCTAACAGTATATACACCGTCAGTGTAGAAAAGATTAATCCATATGTATATACTAATTAATTGTTAACTTCAAACTGTCAACTTACTAGTATCTTCTCCTTCTTCTTATCTCTCATTATTATTAACCTTCTTATGTGCTTAGGTCTCTTCTTAAAAGATTTGGCAAAAAGCTCGCACTTCAATGAGTTTCTTGAACTTTGTTTCAGGGTTTATGAAATGCAATAAATTTCCAATGATTAGTTGCAAGAAAATCATGACTGAGCACAGTTGGTCTTCATTCCTTCCTGTTTTTCTGCTTCCCAATTAATTGGCTATCGACTCAATCTTCCACCATTGGAATTTGGGAAAAAAGATCATACCACGACCAAAAAGTTTGCTAAAATCATATGATCGATCAGTTATGTGAAGAAAAAGACTTGCTTTATTATGCGATGTTCATCTTCATCCCATAATTGTGGAATCAATCAAATGACCTTCACAAAGAGCACAATTTTTCAACAAAATTTAGTTTTTTTCTGGATATAATTTCAAACACAACAAGTGTGGAGGGAAGATGAGAGGATATATATCCCAATTAATTTTTTTTTTTTGGGGGCAACATTTTTCATGACACACATATTTATTACGGTTGGTTGCAAACCCAACAGAATTGGCCACTATTTACTTCAATTCATAAATGGCTTTGCCTAATAAAATGACCTACATCTAACTAGTTTAATTCAACAATGGAACCCACTTTTACGAAGACCTATCGAAATTCTACTTAGGCAAAAAAAAAAAATTTTTCTTCTTATGAGCCACAATCAAAACCAACAAGTTTGTCAAACTTCCCAATTGTCCCTTTCACCATACGTGGCTGCACAAGCGCCATAGTCTCCCAAGATTAAATCCATTAAACCCTCATATATATATCAATTGTAATAAAAATCACTCCAGGGAAAAACCCTTCGAAAAGGGCACTTTCGTAATTTCATCCCACCAAAGACAACCTACCCTCCTCAAAAAAAAAAAAAAAAAAAACTGAGATTACACGAGAAAATCCCTGATCAATGATCAGGTGATCCAATAATAAAAAAAATTGAGTGAGATTAGCATCCAGCAGCAGGATGTGTAAAAAAAGAGAGAGAAGAGAAGAAAGAAAAAAAAAAAGGGGTCAATGGCTCGAATGGGATTCATGTTAGGGCCATTATGGTCATTTCACAAACAACCCCCGGCACAAAGCTTAGCCAACAGCCACTGAATTCCAAAACGCCCAAAAAGCAAAGCTGACCTACATGGGCCGGCTTTTAACTATATTTAGCTGGACAGACAAAAACCAACTTATTATCACCATCGTCGCTTTCTGCAGCTGTTGCTGCTACTGCTTTGCTGATCATTTCCCCCATTCCATTCCTGTACATCTATCTCTACACGTATTATTGGTATATACATTCATTCTCTACATACATACACTACTAATTAATACACATACCTTTACACATATATATATATTATACACATTTAATCTTTTTGTCAAATATATTTTTGTTTATTCAGTTTCCACAGACAGCCCAAGTGACGACCCCTTGTGGGTGCTCTTTAAAGTTTCGACCTTTTTCATCCTGAAATTTGAAAAAGAAGCGAATTATTGTTGTTGTTGTTGTTGTTATTACTACTGCAAGATCTTGCAGTACTGATGCTAAGATTCCATGAGAGTTCTTGAATGAAAAAGGGTAAAATATATATATATATATATATATATATATATATATATTTTTTTTTGAAGGAATTTTTTTTTTTTTAGGGGGTAGGGAAGGGAAGGGAAGGGAAGGGAAGGGAGGGTGTGAGATTGACAGGCAGATCCCACCGAAATAAATTATTAAATTCACCACGCCCTCATCTTCATAAAACCCACAGAATTCACCATCTTTTAGTGATAAGTATATTTTTTATTTTTCAGCTGTAATTGCCCCCCAAGAGGGCAAGGCTCATCACCACAACAGCAGCAAAAGAAGGAGCTTTTCTTCTTCTTCCTCCTCCTCTTCTTCTTCTTCTTCTTCTTCCTCCTCCTCCTCTTCTTCTTTCTTTCTTTTTCTTGTCATGATGTTGGGCACATCTTCTTCCTCAGCTGGTGGCCTAATAGGAGGCAATTCAGCTGAGGCCGGGGCTGCGGGGACCACTGGGGCAGCGGCAGCAATAGAAGCTGGAGCCGCTCCCCATGATAGTGGTGGAAGCGGCGAAGTGGGCGGTGGGACGGGAGGAGCAATCCCGAGTGGATTCAGTGAGGATGAAAAGGCAAGGATTGAAGAAGGTGAGAGGGCAGCTGGGGGTAATAGGTGGCCTAGACAAGAAACATTGGCCCTCCTAAAAATAAGGTCTGAAATGGATGTTGCTTTTAGAGACTCAAGTCTTAAAGGTCCATTATGGGAAGAAGTTTCCAGGTATTAATACTGAAGTTAGTGATTAGAATTCAGAATTGTTCAAGTGAGCTGGTTCTCTTTCTTTCTTTCTCTCTCTCTCTCTCTCCTTTTCTTTCTTTTTCAAGAAAACATAAATTTTTTTTTTTGGGGTGGAGTAAAAAGATCCCTTGTGGATCAATGTTTGTATTGAATTATGGCTTTTTGATTAAAAGGGCAATTGTGTTTGAGCTCAGCTTACTAAAATTCAGCAGTTTCTCCGGACTTTTGCATTTTCCGGGGTTTTCGCTGATCTGTTTTGGTTTCCTTTTGGCATTTTCCTTCTAATTCAAGCTAAAAAGAACAAAGGGGGGCAGTAAATTCTTTGTTTTATTTGGTTTTCTCATCAAGTAATTAACCTTGATCCAATTAACTCTGTGCCCACCTGAACTTCTTCCTTTCATCTCATCTCGTTTTACTAGCACAGCACGATTAATCAAGCTCTGCGGGCGGAAAAGGAGTGATTGAGTATTTGATGAATTCTTTTCCCATGACAAAAATGTGCTCTCTCAAGCCCGCTTGTTTTCCTTACCTTTCCTATGGCTCTTTCATTTTTCTTCCTTCTGATTCGTCTGTTAGTTTATTATCTTGTTTGCACTTAAAGAGTCTTATAGCTAGTTAATTCCCTCGTGCTTATTTTATGTGAGATTTCCTTAAGTGCTTGCTTTATCGATGAATTTAATTAAGATGGGACAAAAGTAGAAGAAAATGGAGTTTTCTTTTCCTTTTTTTTCCTTTTCTTTTGACAAAAAAACTGTTGTTATCAGGAAAATGGCTGAACTTGGCTATCAACGGAGCTCAAAGAAGTGTAAAGAAAAGTTTGAGAATGTTTTCAAGTACCACAAGAGAACCAAAGAAGGCCGAGCTTCAAAAGCAGATGGCAAAACTTATCGCTTCTTTGATCAATTGGAGGCACTTGAGACTAATCCCTCAATGCAATTGCCTCAACCTCCAACAAGGCCTCAGCCTCCAACGCCGGCCGCTGCGGCAATGGCCGTGCCAATGCACGCAGCTTCAAATCCTCCGATCTCGTCACATGGCACTGTTTCATCGGCTCCGCTCTCACCAAATCCAGTAAGTTTTGCTCAAAACTTTCTGCCCCAAAATGTTACTAGCAATGCTATTCCCACCATCCCTTCACTGCCACCTTCTCAATCACAACACTTGCATCCGCCGCCGCCAACGACGAACGCTGCAAATCATCCTCCTCCTCCTCCTCATCATCATCATCATCATCCGAGCAACACTACTTTTCCTCATCATCCCAGTTTATCGACGAGTATGTTGTCCAATTCTTCATCTTCATCTACTTCGTCCGACGAGGACATCGGAAGGCGGCATTTGAGGAAAAGGAAATGGAAGGATTTTTTCGAGAGACTAATGAAGAATGTGATCGACAAGCAAGAGGAGTTGCAGAAGAAGTTTTTGGACACGCTAGAGAAACGGGAGCGCGACCGGATGATAAGAGAAGAAGCGTGGAGAGTTCAAGAGATGGCTAGAATTAATCGAGAACACGATCTTTTAGTCCAAGAAAGATCCATGGCGGCCGCGAAAGATGCAGCAGTCATTGCATTCTTGCAAAAGATCACTGAACAGCAAAACCCCAACAATCCTAATTCTACTCCAATTCAGCTTCCAGCGCAACTCCAATTGCCAGAAACAACTCGAATCCCGCCGGCTCCGCCGCCTACGGTTCCTCCGTCGATGTCGGTATCAGTCCCACAAGCAACGCCTGTAACACCAATTCCACCACCTGCTGCTACTGCTGCAGTTGCACCACAACCGCCCATACAAGCAACAATGGGGGCCGCGCCAACGAGGAATCTGGAAAGCAGTCCTAATAAAACGGATAACGGGATTCAGAATTTCATGCAACCGAGCTCTTCTCGCTGGCCTAAGGCTGAAGTTCAAGCTTTGATTCGTATGCGAACCAATCTTGACGTCAAGTATCAAGAAAACGGACCCAAGGGACCACTCTGGGAGGAAATATCATCAGGAATGCGTAAACTGGGGTACAACAGAAATGCCAAGAGATGCAAGGAGAAGTGGGAAAACATCAACAAATACTTCAAGAAAGTCAAGGAGAGCAACAAGAAAAGACCCGAGGATTCAAAAACGTGTCCATATTTCCACCAGCTCGATGCTTTATACAGAGAAAAAGCGAAAGGGGAAACGACTTCATTTGCCTCTGGATACCAAAATGTTAAACCCGAGAATCCCATGGTGCCAATCATGGCTAGACCAGAACAACAGTGGCCGTTACAACAGGATCAACAACAGCAGCAGCAGCAACAACAACAGCAGCAGCAGGATTCTGCAATGGAGGATCACGGGAGCGATAACATGGATGAAAATGACCATGACGAAGATGATGGGGACGAAGATGAGGACGAAGATGAAGGAGCAGGATACGAGATAGTGACAAACAAGCAGGCTTCGTCTGTGGCGACCACAGTCGAGTAGCGAATGAGGCCATGGAGGAAGAGGAAAGAGGCCGAGGTGGTAAAAAAAAAAAAAAAGAAAGGGGACAACAGGACTGAGGAGTTTGGGAGGTGGGACAGATTTGCAGGAAGATGCCAGAAGAACGAAGGAATCAGTGGGTCAGAAAAACGGTAGGCATGAAATTGTTGCTGCAGAGATGATGGGTGGCTTGTTGGCTGGCTGGTGGTGAAAATAGTAAAGATAAAAAAGAAAGTGGAAATACATATGGGAAAAAAAGAGGATGGTGTTTTACTTTTTTTTTTTTTGGTTTAAATTTACTTTTATTTTTTTTAAATTTGTTTCTTTTTTTTTTTACTTTCTTTGGGGGGTTTTTTTTTGAGGGGGGGGGTTTGGTGTTGTAAGGGTACAGTGGTTAGCTTGGTATAAGTTTAATTTTTATAATTTATTTATTGTTTTGAGAAAATAAGTAAATTCATAGAGATAGAGAGAGAGAGAGAGAGAGAGAGGAGTTTCAATTAATAAACACAGACAAGGATAGTGGCTGTATTTAAAATTTTCATTCTGTTAATGGGGGTGTAATGTGACAAAATGGTTAATTAGTGTTTTTGTCTTTTGATGAGCATACTTTGTTGGGTACTTTTAGTGATTCTTTGCTTCATTAAAATAGTCTTTGATACTGAAGGAAAGCACTGGTTTTCATGTGGCCATGGGTGTTTATATTATGTCACTGAATTTCTCAAGTCAAGTGCTCAATTATTAACTTATTGAAGTAGTGTGCTTAAACGCTAATATATATCTAAGATCCATATGCTTTTTTCTTTTCTTTATGCATATTTATGATCCAAATGTCAAATCTAGAGGTTTATGCCTTTCCAAATTCCAAGAAAGTTTTTAAAATCGAAATCTTCGAGCTAGTCTAATGATGTAGAAACTTAAGGCCATGCTTGGATTGCTTGTTTCTGTCGGAAAATATTATCGTTTTTCGTGATCACATTTCTCTATCACCTTTTTTCCTCACATATATCAAATCGCTACAGTAATTTTTTCATGAAAAATGACGGAAAATGCAATCCAAACACAACCTAATATTTTAGGTAAGTTTTTTAATAAAATATCCCAAATTGTTAACAAAATTATACTAGTTTAAAATGTACTCTAAAAACAAAATATAGTTTTTAATTATGTGACTGATTTTAGTACGTGTTGGTTAATTGGTTGGATTTAATTAGACCGGTGCAGTTTTCCCATCCGACTTTCCAATTGGTTGATAATATCCCATCCCATCCCATCTGCTTAATTATTATGACAAACAAGTTTTTCATGAGACTGGAATGATGATTCATTCAAGTTCGTCATTCCAAAAACAGTGCGGGAAGCCTCGTTTTCAGTTGTCTCACTTTTCTTGTATAAAGTACTTGTTAACTAGTGCTTAAGGCACCTTTTAATCTGAGTTTAAAAGGGCTTAATTATAATTAGTAGAAGAAAGGTTTAAGCTAGTCCCCCCCCATGACAAAAAGGGCCCCCACACACAATTAAGAAGATTCCAACATGACACATGATCCCTTCTAGCAGAGGGTCACCATTCTACACAAGGCAAAGTGTGAGAGAGATGCCTTCTTTTTCTATCCAACTTCAAATCATTCTTTTGGGAATTATGTAATTATATGGAGTTTTTTTTTTTTTTTTTAAATTTTTGATCGGTTGACTTTAATTAGAGAACCAAAATGTTGATCAAGTAATCATCACGGATGGTGCAGAATGAAATCAGGAGGACATGAATTTTCACTTGTCTAGTTCTTCATGATGCTTTCCATTATTTTTCTTGCCTGATATAACCAATGGAGAGAATTGTCAAGGACAAACAGAAACAAACCCCACATCCCCACCCCAACTTTCTTGCACTTCCCCCCTACTTGTTGCCTTGTTGGGGTAAGGTCTATTTTTATGTCTGTATTAGTTTGATGTTACTGTTTTTTTCTTCAATTTTTTCTAGGTGATTAGTACGAAGTCCTAAAAAACCAAAATCTTGTAGTCAAGAAATTAAGAGAAAATTAAATCACTTGGCTTAAAGATAGTATATATAATAGTATCTTTTTATTTTTTATTTTTTAATTTTTTGCAATGGTGGTCATCTTTCCTTCCTTTAGGCTAAAAGTGAAAAAAGGAAAAAAAAAATAAATTTTCAAACACATTAGAATAGCTTTTCACTTGAAAGAAATAAGAATAAGATCCATGTCTATAAGGTTATGCTTTTATCTTCTTCTTCTTTTTTTGTTTTTTTTTGGGAAAAGGGTCAATAAATAAAGTGTTGGTGTCTTCCCCTTGCACTTCTCTAATAAGGGTTGCTAGTGTCCATTTTGCACATCCCAAGTTGTTTTTTAAAGTTTTCTTGAACAATAAAACTTCGGAAAACACCTCCTCCTCTAGGGTACCCGGACGCCTTTTTTTTTTTAAAAAAAAAAAAAAAAACGTACGGCAGCCTTCAACTTTGAAATGTTGGGCAGTAAAATCCAAACAAAAACGTCTCAAAAGAGTTTTTTGGCTTGAAATTTACCCCAAAAAAAAAAAAGAAAGAAGGAAAGATGAGTACTATTATTATTTGGCCTTTTGGCAAATTAATTAGTATTCAATTTCACTTTCAAGAACAATACCCCAAATCTGAACCCATATAAATTATTTGACTTGTGATTGCACATAATTACTCCCCACCCAAATTATTGAAAGACTTGGGAAATTATTACCATCCAAAAGTGGGACCAAAAATTGAGTGGTGAAGAAATATATTATTTAGTATCTGGACAGCATTAGATATTCTGTTCTGTTATTGATGAACAGTGGAGTATATGACATGCAGGCTCCCGTTGCTGTCAACACTTGCGCACAGAAAGTCTTATCTTCTCTCTGTTTTCAAACTTATCACTTTTTTTGGACGCAGAAATTCTAACGTCACTGCCACTTTACTGGGTGGCGGTTGTAAATTCCATTTAATGGTCTGCCCTATCTGTCTCTATGCTCTCATCAACTTGTGCTAATCTTTGCTTCCCTCCTCCCTTTAGCCCCCCCCCCCCAAACCCCTGCAGCAGATACACCTAATAATACATAATATATATATATATATATATTTGCTTTTTGATATTCTTTATACACTGTAGATGACCTAATTATTGTGAGCTTGTTGTAAGCTTGCAGCTGAGTTTAATTAATTTGATTATGCATGGACAGAATCTAGCTGTGCCCATTTTAGGGTTTAGCTAGGTAGTTGGATTCCAATTGCGATAGGCTAGGCTCAAACATGTTTCAGAAACCCTTTTAGGTTTTGTGATCGATCGAGGAATTGAAGTGTTAATTCTGTTGATTGATTCGATTAAGATTCAGAAATGGTCAAGGAATATGTATGTATGAAGCTTATCGTCTACCATATATGTCCATGATCATTAGGTTTATGCATGAAACTTGTTATTGATTTGAGCATCAGATCAGTGATGATTGTGGAGTTGATGAAACAACAAAGAACTTCAACAATTGATGGTTTCTAAGCAGTAGAAAAATGGCCCAAATTTGTTTATTGCTGTGGACGCTTGAGAAGGTGAGTCAATTCAAGAGGAAAAATGAAGTTCTAGCCTGTGAATTTAAGGAACTTGTTTTGCTCAGAAATGAAATTTCACTTGATGATGATGGAACTTAGCAGTGCTCTACGTTTTGCTTGAAACAATGATGAAGGATGTGGAGAAGCGGAAAAATGAGAATGTTGTAAGGGAAATCCCTTTTTAGGGCAAAACTAATCATAGATATTATTTCAATCGATGTCCGTATAGAAAAGAGAAATGTAAAAAAAAAAAAAAATTAGGTATAAAAAGTAAGAACTAGTAGTTAATATTTCTTCCGTCCCAAATTATTTGTCACAAGATTCCAACTTTTTTTAAAAATAGTGATTTGGTGGTTATGTCAGTGAATTGGTTTTCAGAATTACTCTCGAAAGTTTAAATTTAGTATAAATATAAATAAAGGTGGAGAAAACATTAAAAAAAAAAAAGAAATCAAAAGCAACTATGACTTTGAAAAAATGACAAATATGTTGAAATATTTTCAAATAGAAAATAGAACGGTTTGAGTGAAACACGGAGGGAATAGTATTATCCACAAATTTATTTGTTTTCTTAATCTCACCTCATTTCTAAGCTTTCCCATCAAACACAAAAGTCCAATCATTCCTTGTTTTCAGCACTGCAAATCATCAAATTACCACTATGATTGAAATGTGATCCATCTTTGTTTTGTCTGCTTTTTGCTTGCTCCAACATACAGCCATGTTGGAACTTGAAACCATCATACAACTCTCTGGTCTCTACCACTGTGCTCGATCGAACAACACTCTCGACTTCTTTTCCTTTTCTGTTTTAATTTTATGCTTACAAACACATCTTTTTGTTAGTTTGTTTCGTGGAAATTGCTCAAACATGCCATATAAAATGTTGATACAACATTATCATGATGAAACTTTTAAGTATGTATAGCAGTATTATTAGCAAGCACTATTATTCAGTTCTTGAATTTGTTGAAAGTTGAGTTTTCTGAGCCAACAGCATCTTCCTGCAAGTGTCTAGGATTTCACCAACTTTGTCACAATACTCGAGAGAGAGAGAGAGAGAGATGGAAGCTTTTTAAGAACTTGCGTCCAAACTATAACACCAGATTGGATCTAACAGAACAGAACCATGGTCCTGATTCCTGAATGAAATGAAAGTTTAGTACTTTTACATTCAGGGTTTTATAATTACCTGCATGCTTCTGCAAAGCATTTAAGTTGTCTCCAACGTTGATAATACAAAGCATCCGTGTGCTGGTGTGACTGCCCCCAACTCTACCCAAAAGAATAAAATGGGAAAAAAAAAAGTTCATTCTTTTACAAATTTCCTCAGTTCCAACACCTTAATGTATAAAAATTCTGGAAATGATTTTTTTTTGGGGGGGGGGGGGGGGTGGGGGGGGGGGGGTTGCAGTCTTGCAGAATATCGAAATTAAATGAGACAAAATAGAGTCACAAAGTTACAGGCGAATGATTATTTTCCGTACTACAAATTATTGATGTAGGTATGCATTCCAGAGAGTAGCCATAGGCTTAATATGAATGGTACGAAAGGTAGTACATGTACTAACCAATTAAATGTCTGCTTTAGAAATTAATGAAGAGTAGGCCGGGTATGCTTAAATTTGTATTACCCCAATGACTTTTTTTTTTTTTTAAATTTTGATTTTGACATACTAGTAAAATGAATGCCTTTGGGAAAAAAAAAAAAAAGAATTGCTATGTGGAAAATATTCTTAAAACTACAAAATATATATCATGTGCTAGTCATTTACATATTTTCCTTCAAATAAACTTCCTGTGGACCAATTAAAGAAGTTTTAAACTGATAGAAACATTTTCAAAATCTAATAAATCTGCAGTGTAGTAAAAAAAAAAAAAAAAATTACAGTCATATCCTAAATCTAATGGCTATTTTAACCACTACTGTGGCCTCTATTTATGGTGGCTTCCTCGGATTGAGCTATGGTGGCTCCTTCACACTGAGTTCTGCATGTGCATTGTACCACCATTCTTGGTCCGTTGTTCTGTGCACTCATTCTGCAGAATCTGAACAGTTATTTGCGAGCATCTGTTGCCCTTTTAATCCTTTGTCTTAGGCTTTGTTCTAAGTTATAGAAT